ATATATATATATATATATATATCGCTTTGATCGTGATGACTACTGAACTACTGAAGAGGCGAGGGGCGTGAAGCTAATCCCTCACCTCCATTTAGTGCCGAGATTAACAGCAGTGGAGCTATACATCCACTCCCCACATACATCTCGATGGCGTAGTGCTTTATTAATTACTACTACTACTTGGGAGCTACAGACCGTGATGAATCTTGGCCTCTGTTTTACTTAATCATACAGTCGGTAGGACTCCCTGGGCGGGGGATCAGACCGCTGCTACCTACACAGGACAACACAAACATCCATGCCCAGAGTGGGATTCAAACCCACGACCCCAGTGTTTGAACATGCGAAGACAGTTCACGCCGCGCGGCCACTGTGATCGGCGCTAAATTAATTACGCAAGGGCAACTCACGCAACTTTGCCTTTTACCTTTGCCATGGGGCTTATACATAAATGGACTTCAAACAGGGAGCCTGTTAAATTCACTTCGTTCGTCTGTCCGTCCTATATTCATGGAACAAGTTGCGAATCCTTTAATAGATTTTCATGAACTTTCATATTGCAGACTATTTCTAAATTTCCATTACATTACAATTTTGGTCAAGCCTCTGTGGTCTAGTGGTCAGAGTTCCTGGCTACAATTCCAGAGGTCCCGGGTTCGAGTCCCGACGCTACCAGATTTTCTGAGAAGTAGTGGGTCTGGAATGGGGTCCACTCAGCCTCGTGAGGATAATTCAGGAGCTACTTGAATGGAAAAGTAGCGGCTCCGGTCTAGAAAATCGAAATTAACGGCGGTGTGGATTCTTTTATTGTAGAAAATATATTGTTAATACAAAAGAGGCCTAGACAATGCCCATCCGGGATTAGCTGCGCTGACCACGCAACACCCTCTATCCGCTAAAGTTGGCACTAACTTCGCCGACAAGCGGCGATCGCTCGGTCGGTATAGTTTGCTTGAGGACTAAAGCCACGGAGTAGCAAATCGGGCAAAAAATAATTTACATGAACACGTACACGTGTTTCTTCCGGTAGATTGGCAACTAAATGTTTATCGGAGCGCCACCCTGTAGATTGGTAGTCTGCAGATGGGGCATCACAGGAATGTGAAATTTCAATCTGATAACTACACGAGATAAGGACCGAGGAAAATAACTGCAGACTGGAGGCCAAGACGATAAAATTACAGGGCATCTTAAGCACAGACCTGCGGACAGGCCTTGAGACACGCTTTCGCGGCTTGTTCTCCGACGTTGTCAGTATCTCAGACTACAGAGTGTTAAAACACCCTTTGTATGATCTACGTGTAGAATGGTGGGGTGTTTGGTGAGCAATGAAGGGGTGAGTGAACAAGACCAGCCCGGCTAGAAACTTAGCGGCGAGGAGCCTCAGAATTCACAGAAACACGGATATCGCCCGTCTGGAAAATTATCCGAGTAAAACAGAAATGCAAATGCTCTCTGACCAGTTCCTTCCCTCAAAGAAAATTCTAATTTTAGGTACAGACAGCCGGGACAGTTCAGTCGGTACAGACAGCGACAGACTACGAGCTGGACGGCCTGGGTTCGATTCCCGGCAGAGGCTATTTTTCTCTACTCCACAGCGTTCAGATCGGCTCTGGAGCCTGCATAACCTCCTATAAAATCAGTACCGGAATCACTTTCACCGGGAGTAAAGCAGTCGGGACGTGAATCTAATCACTCACATCCACCGTCCGTATGTCTTCATGGCGTGCAGCTTAATTAGTTCATTAGTCAAGCACCGAGATGCTATATACAGCGGGATGCAAAACCCTGAACGACCATTTCTCGTTCCCTCGAAAAAAAGGGGAAAGCGACGCGAGTCCGAAATGCTGTCCCGGAACCGAGCTTCAGCCGAGACAGGAAGGGAGCATCCCGCTCAGCCCGTAAGGCAGTGACGGCCTAAGTAAACTCAGCGAAACATGAGACTCCAACGGCAGTCACTATGTACAATATTATCATCTAGGGTATGACCCCGTGTATTCTGGTAAAGTTTAAGGACGTGTAGTTGGTTGAGGCACTGCTACAAGCAGGAAGGTCGCGAGCTCGAGTCTCGATGTCATTGGATTCTTTTTCAATTGGCCTAATCCTTCCAGCCGCACTATGGCCCTGGGGTCGACTCAGCCTCTAACCTACATGAGTACCAGGAACCTTCCTGGGGGTAAAGGTCGACCGGCGCGTAAGGCTGACAACCTCACCGCCAACTGTGAGCCGACTGTCTAGAAAATGTGGGAGCCTCGACGTCTCACAGCCCTATGGGCCTCCACGGCCTTTGCCTTAGGAGAAACGTACTCTAGTTAAGAAATTGGTAAAATATTATGAAATTTGCAGGTTCATTATCGCGTTCATGACCCCACCCTAAGCCAGATGAGTCCAGTTCACACATTCTCGCCCTGTCTCCGATTTTAATATTTAACTCCCATCTATGCCTAGGTCTTTCCTGTGGCTTCTACTTTTCTGGTTTTCGAACAAAAATTTGGTAAGCATTTCTCGCATCCCCTCGGAACAGCTTTACAATATTCAGTGAACAGCAGAAACTGTGAAGCTCCTCGTAGGCGATTTTGTCGCGGTAAAGTTGTTCGTGTGCTTAATAAATTAAGTACTTTGCCATGAAGACGTATGGGGGAGCGGAGGTATAACTCCACCTTTCTTGATCTCGGTACTAGATGGGAAGTGAGTGGTCAATCTCAAGCCCTGGTTGGTTCTACCCCCGGGGAAAATGCCCCCTGCACCCATCGGATAGAAGGCTGGGTGGACCCCAGAGTCGGTTAATCCGGTGGTCCAGCCCGTAGCCCGTCGCCATACTGACAGAGCCATCTTCTCTGAGTAACAAAACAATCTGTCAGTTGTGCTAGACTTTATGGTCACACTGTGGACATTATCAGTCTATGGAGATAAGGTATCTGCTTCGGGCATACCGTGGACTACCGATCTGAACACAGATGTAGTCGCTTTAAGTGCACTCGGCTCCGGCTGTCTACACGTCTCCACTCAGGTTAGTGTCTGGATAACATGTAAAACTGACTGTACGCTTCATTACGCACGGTAGCGGGCGCCAGCTTCACGCTGCGTCTCCATTACCACTTACTTAACTCCAGAGAGCTGAGTCCTCAAGAAGCTAACAGTTGCTCAGCTATTCAAGAAAATTCCAGCATTTTAAGGAAGCCGAAAGTTCATAATAACTGTACTTACAAGACCTCGTCAGTGTTTCCTACCCATATCTAAAATAATCCAGTCCGCACCGTCCAATCCTATTTCTTTAAAATCCAGTTTAATATTATCCTTCATCTATGCCTTGGTCCTCCCAGTGGCCTCTTTCCTTCAAGCTTTACTACTAAAACTTTGTACGCACTTTGTATACTATATCACTTACCACATATAAATATATAAGCGTGACAAGCCTATGTACCAATTTGGTTCTGACAGATGGGCACAAGTAACAGTCAGTGGCGTGCAGCAGTCGGACACTGGTCAGGCGAAGTGTCATTTCACACGGACCCATGTTCGTCAGCATGGGACCAGGAGCAGCACACCACTGCGCACTGGAGCCCCATCGGCTTGCTAATATCACTCCTTGTTATTGGGGGTGTGGAGCTCAACCCCGGACCGAACTCAACTCAGGTAAATGCCCTGCATCATCAAAGTGTCAACGCGTTAATAAAATCACTCCGAAAACTTATTAAACCAAAAACCGACTGCGTCCCTAAACGTAAAGGTTCCATACCTGTATTCGGAAGGACCTGAGTTCGAATCTCGTACAGGTTAACATATATCCAAGTAAATACTTTGGTGGTATCCCTTAATTCTTCCAGGAGAATGCTAGAGTAGCGCATTCGAATAGGCCACGACTCACTGCTAACGAGCAGTCTGGTGTAGCGGTAACGCTCTACTCTTGTATTCTGAACGTCCTTCGTTCGTATCCCGGCCGGGACACAGGTATTTTCGTCCAGGCGAATGCTAGGATAGTACCCCGACTGTGACATGACCGGGTCATTCACAGTCCTTTCCAATTTATCATCATCAATTATCCTGTCAGTGCAGTACGCTATACAGATCAGTCGGTACAGAGATGTGATAGGGGCTGGACAGCCAGAGTTCCATTCCCGGTGGGGGCAAGAAAACTTTCTCTTCTCCCAGCCTCCTATACAATGGGTACTGGTGGCTCTTTCCTTGGGGGTAAAGCGGTAGGAGTGTGAAGCTAACCACTCACCTACATCTAGTGCCGAGGTTAAGAATGGTGTCCTATTCCGAACGGTTTTCGAGATAGAGCAACACGCCATGTCCTCACACGAGTTGCAAAGTGCATTGATGTTGGCCGTGGAATTTTCGAAAATGTATTGTAGTAGGTAAACTGTACCAACTTTGTCATTTGAACAATAAATACCGGCATTAGAAACAGTATGTAGCGTAGTTGGTTGAGGCACAATGCTACAAACCAGAAGGTCGCGGGATCAAATCCCGATTAGATGGATTTTTTTTTCAATTTACCTAATCCTTCCAGCCGCACTATGGCCCTGGGGTCGACTCAGCTTCTAACAGAAACGAGTACCAGGAATCTTCCCGGGGGTAAAGGGCGGCCGGCACGTAAGGCTGACAACCTCACCGCCATATATGAGCCGACACTCTAGAAAATGTGGGACCCTCAACGTCTCACAACCCTATGGGCCTCCACGGCCTGTTACAGGGATAGCTTTACTTACTTACTTTACTTTTTTACGTAATATCTTTCTTATCAACAGTTCTGGAACTGTACGGTGACATAGCTGTATCTCGGAAACCGTTCCGAACAGGATACATGTATATATATATACTTTTTTTGCTTATAATGGCCGATACTGGGACTTCACAGAATACTGACATTTCCTCCTGGGACACCCTGTATATAGCTTATGTATCTGAAACGTCATCAAATAAGAATAGAATGAGTCACGCACGGAACTAGGCGTAAGCAAACTTATTTTTTTTTTAATATGAAGGCCATAAGATTACAGCCTATAGAACTTAGCTCCGACCTAAAAAAAATACTGCGTCTCATTTACAAAAAAAATGGTTCGTACTGTAAGAGCTTAGGACTTATGTAGGTAAACCCTTTTTGGCAATCTAACAGTTGTTCAGCAAAACAATTAACTCCCTACAATTTATGGAATCTGGTGCGTAATCTGAGTCAGAGGAATCCAAACTATACCGCCCCTTCATATTTCTTCAAGATCCATTTCAACATTTTCTCCCGTCTGCGTCCAGGTCTTCCTAGTGGTATCTTCCATTCAGGTTCTCTTACCAAAGTTCTGTATGAACTTCCATCTCATTCGTATTAACAAGCTGCATGTAGCCCGAGACCTTGAGAAGCTGACAGTGGCTCGATAGTAAAAGAAATTCCCGCCTTTGATTACCATGGTCACAACAGCCAGCTGAATCCTATCGACACCTCTGCATTCTATCTGATCCGTTTTAATGTTGTACTCTCGCCTACGCATATGCGTAAGCCCCCTAAATGGTCTTTTCATTTCAGGATTTCCAACTAAGATTGTGTACGAATTCCCCATCTCCCAGTCCATCGAAATGTCTATCATTTCATTAGGCCTACCTTAAAAACTGGTGAGAAATACAAGTTATGCAGTTTTCCCTATTCTCTTGTAACGTAAACCCTCTTATCTCCGAATATTCCCCTTAGCACCCTGTTCTCAAAGTCCCGCAGTCTCCGTTCTTCCCTTAATGTTGGAAAATAAGTTTCAAGTCCATACAAAACCAGAGACAAAATTATAATTTTATGTCCATGTAAAACATAAACCTATACAAAATCTAAACTTCTTTCCCAAATATACGGCCAATGGTTTCTCTTTCCAGGCAGGAACAAATGAACGAAGTTCAAACATCGAAGATGAAAATTCGGGATTTGTTGAAATTCTGCTTGATGAAGGAGTGGAACAGTTGGACGGAAAGCCAACCACACATGATCTTAAGTGGGCGTCTGGAGTAACACAAACAGAAGGGGAACCGCTGATATGCTGGAACACGGATCAAGAAAGCCAGTCACAAACTGCAGAACCAGAGGTCCAATCCATTCAGGCACTAAAAAATAAAACAATAAAACGTGGGAAAATGTTGCAAGACAAGAAAATGGAGATTAGCGAACTGAGAGAGAAAAAGCGGAAACTTTCCAGAAAGTTACAGGAAAAGGAAACCGAAGTGTATCGCCTAGCGTCGGAGAAGGAGAAGCTTGCGAAGGAGTTAGAAATGCGAGGAACAGAAGCACAGCGCCTGAGAAATGAAAATTCGGCTGCTGAAACAGAACTGCGTGATAAAGAGACGGAAATATGTCACCTCAGGGACGTACACAATTTGCTAGATTTAGAAATGCAGTCGAAGAATAGGGAAACTGCGGTTATTTCCGATGGAAACAGGGAGCTAGGAACATTACTGCAGAAAAAGGAAACAGACATACAGCGCGTAAAGGAAGAGAACAGACTTCTGGAACTGAAGTTGCAGAGAACTGACGCAGAATTTCTAAGCTTGACAAACAAAAATACAGAAATCGTGGGACTTCTGAATAGCACAAAACGTGGACTACTACTGCGTGTACATAGTGAAGAGGAGCTGGAAAACATTCCAGGCGATAACTTTGACCTTAAAGGAAAAATGAGTGATTCTGAAGGAAAATTGATCTATGATAATACAATACTCACAGCGACTATAGAGGATTCAGAGTGGGAAATTCATAAACTCACAGAAGAAAACTCGCGTCTACGACAGGAACTTCATGAAAAGCGAAAGGAAGAAGAGAGACTAAGAGATGAAAATATGAGATTCGATAGAGCACTGCAGGAAAAGGAGCCACAACTCGAAACTCTGACAGATGAAAATAAGCTGCTTAGACAGGCGTTCAAGGAAAAGGAAATGGACATCGAACGCTTAACAGAAGAAAACATGAGATATGAGAAGGAACTGGAGGAGAAGGAACAAGAATCAGAAAACCTTGCAAACCGTAATTCACAGCTAAAGGAAGATTTTCGTGAGAAACGATCACAGATGGATGATCTTTTAGGTGAAAATACGCGTCTTGAAAAATCAATGCAAGAGACAATGTCAGAAGCAGAACGCCTTGAGGTTGAAATTGCGCGGATTCAAAAGGAACTTCACGGGAAGGAGTCGGATACAGACCGTCTGAAGTGCGAGAATGCAAGATTGGCAAATCTGCTGCGAGAAAGTGAAACCGAGGCAGAGATGTTGAGAGGAGAAAATACACATCTTGATAAAGAACTGCATGAGAAGAAATCCGAAACTGCTCTCACGACGGAACAAAATGTGTATCTGAGTAAAGAATTACAAGTTGGGAACGAAGCTTTAACAGTCTTGACAGAAGTAAACGAAAGACTTCGCAGTGAACTACAGGACAAGAAAGCAGCGACAGAACAGCTGACAGAAGAAAATATGCGCCTTAGTAAAGAACTACAAGAAAAGGAACCCGAAATAGAAAGGCTAGAAAAAGAAAACACACACATTAGAAAGGCATTGCAGGAAAAGGTACAAGAAATAGAACATCTGACTGAAGAAAATAAAAGACTCTCAAAAGAATTACACGACAAGAAAGCAGATATAATGGCAATTACAGAAAAAAATACACATTATTGTAAAGTAATTCAGGAAAAGGAACACGAAATTGAAATCTTGGCAGAGAAAAGTGCGTGTCATGCGAAAATACTGCACGAAACAATGACAGAGATAGAATGCTTGACACAGGAAAATACACGCATTCAGAATATCTTACACGAAAATGAGGCGAAGACAGTAAGTCTGACAGGAGAAAACATTCGGCTTGACAAACAACTGCAGGAAAGTGAACTGAGGATAGAGGGAGCGACAGAAGAAAATGAACGTCTTCGTGAAAAACTTAAAGATAATGACTCCATTATAGAGTGCCTCACTGCAGACAATTCACGATTAAATAACGAATTACAACAGAAGGAAAAAGAGATAACACATATCACAGAAGAAAATGCAGATATCTGGAAAGAATTACAGGAAAAGTGTCTGGAGGAAGAACACCTAACAGAAGAAATAACACGACTCAGGAGAGGAAAAGAAGAGAAGAACCTCAAGATAGACAACATCAAGGAAGATCATTCACAACTGGAAAGAAACTTACAGGAGAGTGTGGCAGTGATGCGGAAACTGACGGAAGAAAATATGATACTCGGACAGCAACTACAGCACAAAAAATCTGATATCGAATGTCTGACAGAAGAAAATGTAAGACTCGAAACGGAGCTGCAAGAAAAGGTACGAAGGACAGAATCCATCACAGAAGAAAACTCGCGGATACGTGAAGAATTAGAGTCTAAAGGGTCAAAGATAGAACTATTAACAGAGGAAAATATATGCTATGCAAGAGAAGTAGAACAAAGCGCTGACGAGATTGAGCGCCTCGCAGAAGAAACTACACTCCTATTAAAGGGACTACACGATTATAAAACAGAGAAGGAACGCATAAAAGAAATAAATGTAGGGCTGGGAAAGGATATGCAGAAGGAAATACTGAAGACTGAGCAACTTACGGAAGAAAATGTTGTTACTGGCAAGGCGTTACAAGAGAAAGAAGCAGAAACAGGAAGATTAGCGATGGACAATTTGCAGCTAACAAGCGAACTGCTACATAAGAAACAAGAGACAGAAAGCTTGGCAAAAGAAAATGAATTATTGAGCAAGGAATTGGATGGGAAATTACCCGAAATAGCTCGAATTACAGATGAAAATAAACGGCTCGGAAAAGAACTGCAGGAGAAGGAATCAATGACAGAAAAGCTTACGGAAGAAAATTCAAGACTCGCGAAGAAACTGCAAAGTGAGATAACACAAATAGAAGACCTCACTAACCAAAATGTGAAGCTTGGGAAACGTTCTGTAGAGATTGTTACAGAAGCAGAGCGTCTTACAGAAGAAAATTCACGTATGAGAAAATGTCTGCAAGAGAAGAAATCTATGTTACAACACGTGACAGAGCAAAATGGAAATATTGGCAAAGAACTGAAGGAGTTCGAACAGGAAATAAATCAATTTACAGATGAAAACAGGCGACTAACTGAACTCGCGGAGAAGAGAAAAACAGATATTCACAGCTTAAAACATGAAAAGCTTCGGAAAGAATTCCAATGGAAGAAATCAGAAATAGAAAGACTGAAGCAAGAAATAGCCCAGAACGAAAAAACAGAAGAATGGAAGGGCCTCTTGAATGACTTTACATTTATTGAACACAAGTTACAGACCGTGGAAATGCAGACGAAAAGTCAAATGGAAATGAACAGAAATCTCGAAGATCAGCTACACGAAAAGAAAGTAATTTTAGAGAATATGGAAAAAGAAAATGCACAGTTGGAGAATAAATTAATTAACACAGAAGAAGAAATACATATCGTAGCGGGCAAAGCCCGTGACTTGGAAATGAAATTACTAAGTAAAGAACAAACAATCAAGAGCCTGAGAGAGTCGTGTGATGTATATGGAGATCAGATACGGGCAGGGGTAAAAGAAATGCAGAGGTTAACAGAGAGAATAGGAGGACTGGAGAAAGATATGCAAGTCAAAGAAAAGGTGTCTCTGAAACTCAAGAATGAAAATTGTGACACTGGGAAAAAATTGCAGGAAAAGGATCCTGAGACAAAAGAAGTGACAGAAGAAAATGTGAAACTGATGGCGATGCCGTTAATTAAAAAACGAGATCGTTTGGAAGAAGAAGAAAACGAGATATTGGGAAATGTTTCGGAAACACAAACGGGAAAATTCAATGTGCAGTTAATGAGAAAAATTAAAGATTTCCAAGGGCCAAGTTGTGATAATACTGATTTCGGAATGAACTTAAAGATGAAAGTGGAGGAATTAATGGAACTCACGGAGAGGAAGAGAACTGCCGAGGAAGGTTTCCTTTCTAAACAATGTGAATTACAGAAGTTCAGAGACGATAACACGGGTCTCATCAAAAGAACAGAAACATGGAAAGGCACAACTAGCTTCAGGGCACAAAATGTGGACTTCTGTGGAGGGAAACAAAACGAGAAAACAAATGTGGGGAACAAGGGAAATGATAATGATCTCGGGGAAGAATTTAGGAATGAGTCAGCAGTTTCCGAGATTGATAACTGTCACACAGAAGCAAGGAAACTGACCAAGTTGATGAACGTGAAGACGGGAATAAAGACGGATACAAGACAAACAGAAATTCAAAACACAAGTCGAAATGAAATCCACGCGGACAGCGATGGTGTGCAGCATCCTGCAACTGCAACTGGGATCAAGAGGCCGGGAGTCGGAAGACATGGCAAAGGAAACTTTCTGCAGGATCGAACTGATGATTCATCGGATAATGATAAGGAACTACAGGTAGAAGACACAACAGGCGAGAGCAAACGTTCGTGGGCCCACAACGGAAGAACAGAGGAAACAACGTTCCTGAAACAACTGAAGCCTCACTCTGTTGGGGATCTCAAAAGATTTCCCAGAATGCAAAGACATGTTAGTCTTGATACTGGGTTCGATTCCGTAATGATGAAGCCGAACATCATGATGAAACCGGATGGGATATCTGAAAACAGCAAATTGCGAAAGCAGCTGTCAGTCAACAGAAGTGAGCGACAGAGCGCTGTCGATGGCAGCAAAGGACGTGTTGTGCTGTAAGTACACTTAACTTACTCGTAGATCTATATTCAACAGTTTAACCCCTTAAAGCAAGCTGGTAACTATAACTGCCACTTATTTTAAGGTGAAAAAACTGCAATTTCCCTGTAGTGAATTTATGTGTTTCGTATGATCGCCGGAATAAATTCCTATTACTGTATTTCCGTATAGATCATTAAGCAATTTTGTCTTTCTGTTGTGTCTGAAGCATCTCTGGAGGTACGTTACACCTCGAGTAGGCAAAGTTACGCGGGGAAACCAAAGTCGCGTGCGTTCAACGAGATATCGGTAAGTCGATTCTGATAGAAACATAATGACACACTACGCGCAGAAAATAAAGCGTGTTTACTCTGATGTAGAAACTGAATTCTTATATATTACACAAAGGAATGTGATCACCCAACAGCCAATTAAAAGCATTAACTGAATCTGAACAAAAGCATAAAAACTCTGAGTTCGCAGAGCAGAGCTGGAACTTATGCGAAATCTATGATTTTAAGTTTGGCCAATAGCGAGTGTTCTGGGCTTGCTTTATCGATGTAAATCTACGGGAGGGGCTCCAAATATGTGAAACATTTCGTATGACTGTCAAAGTTACGTAAGAGTGAAATTCGAAGAACCTACAGGAACGTCAGCTACAGCGGACCGAAAGTTTCGCCTGCAATTCTCAACTTATCACGTGGTTTCTTGTGGTTTCAGAACGGACATGCCGCTCGTCAGTAGCAGCTACAAGGGGCAGATCCCTACAGTAAGTAACAACCCAAATAGTGCACAAACTTCCTCACACTGCAACTAGCCGATTTCTGGCACAATCTTTCCCATATTCTTGCCTTGTCGTTTTCTGTTTTAACAACCTAAATAGTGCACAAACTTCCTCACACTGCAACTAGCCGATTTCTGGCACAATCTTTCCCATATTCTTGCCTTGTCGTTTTCTGATTTATGTCACTGTGTATGTAGTCTGGTACGTGGTTACTGAAGTTGCAGAGGAACTCTGAAGATTGAGACAGTATGTCCCTTTGAAACATTTATATCTTCCTATAAAACAAACTTCGTGGCCTGTAGTCCGCAAGCGAACTATACCGACCGAGCTACCGTCGCTTGTCGGAGAAGTTAGTGCCAACTTTTGCGGATAGAGGGTGTCGCATGGTCAGCGCAACGTTAATCTCAGTTTTATAGACAGGAGCCGCTACTTTTCCATTCAAGTAGCTCCTAAATTATCCTCAAGAGGCTGAGTGGACCCCGTTCCAGACCCACTACTTCTCAGAAAATCTAGTAGCGCCGGGAATCGAACCCGGGACCTCTGACCACTCTATACAGTGTCTTAATGCAGAAGAACTTCAAATTTCCTATTTTCTTGATATAGTTGCTTCATACCTTCTGTACAACAAAAGAACATTTTACAGGAAAGAGGTAACATATAAGAAATTGACACATCAAATGGTAGCAAGTGATTAGTTGTAGGTATACGAGTACAGTTATTCTGTTATCTAATTTTACATTTATCTTTCAGATAAAAGTCCCTGATAATATTCCAATAAATAAAACTGCTTCATTATCATATACAGAGTTAAATACATTCATTAATAAGTATGATACCTTTAGAGTAATTTAACCCAAACCAAAAATTGCATTTAAGTAACTGCACATTTGCGTTTTACACATGCATATGGCTTCTATCAGTATACAATATTATGTTTTAGTGTAATACTGTCGTTATATTATTGTTATATGTCTAAATATCTGAAATACAGAACTGTGAATTCCTAGCAGAATTTAAAATGTAACAAGTTGTTCCAAAGTCCCACACTGGCCAATAAAGGGCTTGGGTTATTTACCACAAACTTAACAACAAGTTCTGAGAAGAGCTAATCGCCTACTTTCTTTCACTTCGTATTGGATATTTGATGTGACCCAAATGCACATAAAACACCACATCCATCACTTCTATTGTTGGGCGTGTTTTCGTTGCTGCGGGAACGTGTTTACCGAGCTGTTGCCTAGCAAAGGCCGTGTGTTCCGACTCCACTATTCCAGCTTTCAAGCGTTAGGGAGAGGAACATACAGACAGCAAGGTGATCTCATAAGACTCCTTTTTTTCCCCCCAAAATATGGAAGCAGGATAAGAACTAATTTCCAAACAACCATAACATAAATTGTAAGATTTGAGGTTTTCAAGGCGGTGACCATGAGAAAAGCAGTCTTCTAGGATGTGGCGCCGTGTAGATATTGTGTTAACCGACGTTTCGGAGGAACGGACATTCCTTTTTTCTTCTACCCTGAAGATAGAGGCGATATGTTCATCCGAAACGTCGGTTAACACAATATCTACATGGTGCTACATCCCAGAAGATTGCTTTCTTCAAAACCTAAATTCATATTTCCTCCACATTACATATAATTGCACAACTGCCCAGTCAAAGCAACTCCTTTTACAAAAATAAGTTGAACAACATAAAGACATGATATGTGACAGATGTAATAATTAGCCTTCCAGAGTCCACATATCAGGTTCCAACACCAAAACAGCAGTGTTTCCTTTAGAAAGAAAATATTGTTTTGAAATACGAGATTTGCTGGAAGCCTTACCAGATAGGATTATGTTTAATTATTACTGCAGTGCACATGATTAAGATTCGTTATGGTATGGGGAAGCAATAAGTTCTGAATATAAACAAATTGTTGCACTTCATACTAATTCTTGAATATATGAATCATATATAAACTGTTTTGTATTCTAGGCTGGCCCAAAGACCACAGAATGCACATCCATGCAGAAACCCGGCTGGGTGTACATGAATGCAGAGTTCTTCACTGTTAATGTGGCGGCTCTGTTGTTCACTCGAGCCATCAATGCAAAGCTGGCATTCCACTTGGCATCACACAAACAAATCCCATATTTGTTTAATGACATAATTCTGAAACTTGGAAAGCAAACGCTTTTTCTTCAGCTGAAAGATCGTCCGTGCCATAATAAGTATATTGACAAGTCACAGACTTTTCAACTGAAAGGAGACTTCAGTCTGTTGAGACATTACAAGTCATTCTGTGAAACAAAAAAACTGTGGACCCAAAGAAAGAATTTACAAGACTATGGTAGATTTGAAGACAGCATTTTTGTTGTATACACAAATGCTGTAATGTCTGATGATAATGGACGCAGTGCTGACTATACAGTTTGGCAGGAAGTTCTTTGTTCCAGGGGAAAATATTTCACGTTCTCTGAGGATAAATTCCCAGAGGTTTATGAAATGTTCGAAAACTTAGAAAGATATAAACAACTGCTGGCCGATTCAACCTATAACTTGCAACTTACAACTAATCAACAGTTGCTTGATTTTGTCAGGAAAGTTTGGAACAGCAAGGCTGCCGCTCTTCCAGGGATAATTGAACTCAACAAGTTGCTAAAGGACCTTCAGGAGCTGGGAGACTTGTCACATTACAAAGAATTTTTATCAAGGTTTTGGTTTCTTACTGAACAAGGAACTGATCAGCAACTTGAGGAACAAATAAAGCAACAAATAGGACTGGCTTGTGGAATCTCTGAAACAAACTTGATTTATACTCGCTTCAAAAAAGAAATGGGTGACTGGTACAGATATTCAGATCAAGTTCTCACTCGAGAATCACAGCTCTGGAAGGATATCAGAAATGGAAATGACAGTTCAAAGGTGATCAAAGAGAATCAACTGTAACAATTACACCATCTGTTAGCAGTGACCAAGCTCTGTTGATTACACTGTTCTGATACACCACATGCTCCCTACTGAAAGCGTACATTCTTGAGGTTCAGTTCATGGTGTATGACAGTTTACAAACTGAAATGAAATGTGTTAGACATGTGGGTGGGGGCATGCAGGATCAGCGTGAAACCATAAAAAACTAAACTGCATTCCTATCACAGCACATTTCACAAACTGCATTTTGCGTTCTTGGCATTTTTAGAATAAATATTAATTTATGCTGCTGTTCTGTTAATATCATGACCACTAACTTGTCATGCAAATGTCACAGTTTACATAATCCAAACCAATGCAAATAAGAATGTTTTAAGAGATAGTTGTTCTGTAAATTAATTATATTTATACTATAAATAAAGTCTACAAACTATACTGATCGTACCGCTATTTCAACATCAGTTGCCTCAAATAAAATCCTAATTAATATTCCCTTCTCAACCCAAACCAAAAACCAATATAAAGGAAGTACCTAAATAAAATTTAAAGGGGTTACCCTGATATTCTCTGAATGAACACAAATTTTACTTCAAAAAGATATTTGGCACTCCTCAACTTAATTGTATCTACATTTTTTACTCATACTGCACAATCTGAAGGTCCTGGCATGAATCCTAGCCAGAAGACTTCTGGACTACTGCAGTTACTGCAAACAATCATCCTATCATTTCACTTTTAATACAACAAAATTTGTAATTGACAGTGTGTTGTTAAATAAACAAACAAAGATTCCCTTGTCATATTTGCTTCTGAAAAGTTCTGAACAACTCTACAGTACCATATTCTGGACTGTGATACCATGCAGTCTGGTAAAAGCTGTAGAAGTTTACTAATGTGTCCGAGGAACATACTGTGTACATCTTCTGGGCCGATATTAAGCTGAGAAAGCAACATATGTAGCATGCTATAATGTGTGTGAAATGATGCATACAAAATATGAACCTCGATGTTACGTAATTTTCTCTGTCTTCCTGTTACTTCCTTACCTTTGAGTCGAAACATTCTCTTCAGCACTTCGTTCCTTGACACATATATTCTCATCGGATGACAGACCATTCACACCCGTATAAAACACTGGTAAAAATGATAGTTTTGTTACCTCTACCAGGTACAAAACACAAAAACTTTCGTCTCCAAATTGAAACTCTCATTTGTTGAGATATATGCTACACTGCTGAATCAAGCACCATTAATACGAAAAACGGGACCTTAATAACCTCACTTATATACAACTAGAACGGCACTTCACATTGCGAATTTTAGTCACACATTACTGGGACTGGGTTCTCAAATTCATATTAGCCTTGACTTGCTGATATGTTCGGTTAGGCAAAGCTTGCTGGATGATAAATACATACTGAATTCATAACTTTGAAATTTGTTACGGACCTGGGTATTCTTGGTTTTAAGATTTAAAAGATACGTGATACAAACCAATCAGTTACATCATAATGTGAGTCGTAAGTACCGTTACGCGTTTAATACAAAGTTGGAATTAACTTGGTGTACGTATAAGTATATGGGAATAAACAAACAGCTATAAACTGTTCATAACAGATTATGAGCACGTCAATCACATTTAATTAAGACCCCTTTCGTGACTGATGTACTCGTACATCAAAATAAGCCTGGAAACTCAGTTTCAGTAAACATAAAACTAAATTACGAAGTGTTCGTACGAAATATTCATCTCGAAATTTTATGTAACGCATCATATAATTTTAAATATATGACGTAGTAGATGCATAGATCCATTAAATAAATTGTAAGAAATGATACTGTGAATTGAAACTATCTATTTGGCCTGGTGGGAATACTTTGTGATGTTCGCTGCCTGTCAGTTTGTGTGGGCCCATTGTCAGCAATCTCACTGTTGTGTAAGACTGAATAAAACGTAGTTTTGTGGACAAAACCAGTGCTACATATCCACTGCCGGAAATGTGACCTAATGCACATGTCCTTCTGTATTTAATTTTGTAATACAAAATTCAGTTACCATATCTACAAATCCTTAGTACTGTTTGTATTAAAAAACAGAACAATTGCAGAAACCATTCTGTAGACCTATATTTACATACCATGCCATCAGTAATGAATAACATCATCAAAAAACTATGGAGGCATAATAATTTGTCCACTTCAAGGTCTTATGTGCTTCTTCATACCATACCACATAATGCAGATTCTGTCTAAGGATGGTAAAAATAAATCAAAGAATTACAGAGCATGAAGTAAAATTCTGTCACAGTTGCTAGGCAGGATTTCATGTGCAAATACACAGACTGTGGACAAAATGTGGGTACTCAATTTGGTAAATTGCTGAAAGGTGGATATACTCTTTGTGCTTATGTAGCCTAGCCATGAATATACCATACAACAGAAGGTTTTAATGTACTATTTTATGAGCTATGACTTAAGGAACTTCCCAGTAAATTTTATATTTACCATGACTGATGATTCACTAACTAAGCCAGTTGGTAAAACTGGGTGGCATATATGTCTTTTTAAGCACATTGGGAAGAGAGATATTATATAGTACACAAGTAATGATGTGTTCTGTTTTGAATTTATTTTGACAGAATGACATGGAGGTAATCAAAGTGGAACCAGATATTGACAGAGAAACACTGTTGGCGGTTTCCCACAGTGAAGATTCACAACTTGGCATAAAAGATGAAGATCATCCCGACCCATTCACTTTAGTTTCAGTTGAGATTGAAGACAAGGTGAGTGTCACATAGTTGTCTTACAGTACCTACAGAAAACGTTCAGATGAAAAGCGTCTACAAAGAAGGGGACCAATATTAAGATGGATCCAAAAGAAACTGATTTTGTAGTACAAACTGGGATAAATGCCTCAGGATTGTGCATATCATGCAAGTGGGTTTTTGGGTTATAATAGCAAACAGTTTTAGTTATAAATGACTCTGATTATGAATCTAAATTATAATAGTATGTAATCTCTGCTTTTGTAGACTAATCCAGATGATGGTGTAGGATTGAAGGAGATTAATAAAGTTAAAACCATACAGCAGTGTACTGAACCATGTCAGGACGCAGGAGCCAAGTAAGTACCAGCACTTACTCCTCTGGTAAACTGTATATTGATCGAAAAGAATTACGTTCATGTAAAGCATTCATACTTTCATGTATTTGCAACTGAAGTACATTTTATGCAAGTAAAGAACTCGTTACAGTAGATGCATGTCACACTTAAGAATGAGAGTAGAGGGCCTCAGAAGTTTTGTTTACACCATAAACTTTCCCAGAGACAAGATGTCACCGGGTGTTATTCTCCATACCTGTTTCTCAGAAAAGTAAGGTAGATTATCTTCTCTTTCCCTGAGGAATTTCTAAGTGTAAAAGATATATGTGATATGTATTGATGACTTTTTGCCCTTGCTACTTATTACTGTATCAGTACTCCTGTGGGAACTGCCCACAATCAAGCAAACGTTACAGTGACAACGAAAGTATCATTGCTTAGCAACAGCAAGTAAACAGCCACTGCTAGGCAAAGCATACAACAATATGGACAGCAACATATTTTTTTATGATTTTGCCTAGCAACGGCTGTTTACTCACCGTTCAAATCACGTCGCTGTCAACAGTGTGGCATGTCGTTATATGAAATACAACCACTTGTTGAACACTCTAGTCCAGAGTTGCATTTCAGTACAACATTCAAGGTGTCACAGATTTCACTATTGTTACTATGTTATTAGAATTCAATTCTTCAAACTGAAGTTCATCTGTGCATATTGTGCAACTAAAATAAATATTATAGAACATTTCAACAAGTGGTTGTCTCTCCATATAACGACATCCCACACTCCCATGACAAACATGATTGGAGAGTTATTCACATGTTCAAAGTGATATACTTTTTAAACAACAGCACAAAAATATGAGCAGTATTGACTTTCAATCTCTGGAATAAAATAAACTGTATTATTCTCATTTAAATAGTTCATTGGTATTAGACTCCATTGACACATTTCACAATATGAATTTCCATTGAATTTCCTAAGTTGCTTGTGTTGATGGCGACTTCAGTGTAATAGTTCATGTTGTAGCAAGTTTACTATTGTAAAATACTGTTTCTCACTTCAGATGTGACAGTCCTCAAGGAGGATCTGCTGCCTTTAACAATAAACCACCTTCAATAACACAACACAAGCCCAAGGGTAGATACAGAAAGAAACTGCAAAGTGCTGCAGATATTTGTACTTGTAGTGAATGTGGTATAGTATTCAAGATGTCAAAAGGATTGATAAACAAGGAGATTAAAATTCATATCTGTAACAAATGCAGTACAAGTGGTGCCAAAGAACCTATAAATCTTGCAGATGGCATAGAACAGACTCAGGAATGTGATCGTGGGTCCGCTGTTGATAGTAGTAGCAAAGAACATTCCGCAGATAGTAGTGAAGAAAAGCTACATGTGTGTCCGGAGTGTGGAAAGAGTTTCACGCGATCATTGGCTCTCAAGAAACACTACTGCATGCAAGAAAAAACCTATGTGTGTGAAGTATGCGGAAAACAGTTCACGCAGTCCCGTAATTTATTGGTCCATTCTCGCTCACATACTGGTGAAAGGCCATTTACCTGCAATATATGTAACAGAGGATTTTCTTATTCTGGGGACTTGAAAATACATATCCGTATACATACAGGGGAGAAACCCCATGTCTGTGAAGTCTGTAATAAGGCATTTTCAAAACAAGGAAAGCTAAAGATCCACTATCGGATACATACGGGAGAGAAACCGTATGTGTGCAAAGTATGCAAGAAAGGATTTTCAGAATCCCAGGTTCTCAAAAGACATTACCATACCCACACTGGAGAAAAGCCCCATGAATGTCCGGTATGTAAGAAAGGATTCACCAAACCGGGAAAACTTAAAATCCATTATCGNATTCACACTGGTGAAAACCCATATATTTGCACGGTGTGTGAGAAGAGGTTTAACGACACGCAAGTTTTAAAGGAACATTATCGTACTCATACTGGAGAAAAACCTTATGTTTGCAGTATTTGTATGAAATGCTTTGCTTTTTCAAAATCTTTGAAAAAACACAGTCACATTCATACAGGACACCCAATAACAAGACACTGATTTTCTTTAACATGTAGAAAGGAAGACACCTGAATGTTTACCATGGGAAACAGTTTTACTGTGCTGCAAAAATAAAGTCAGTATGGCATGAAAAGAGGGTTCAGTTACCCTCAGAACAGGGCCTGGGCTCAATCCGTGTGACCACAGAAGAGAAAAATAACATGAATTTCCATTATGCAGTTCTACTTTGCCACTGAAAAAGGAATAATTGAGTGCTTCCCATAAAAATATTCATAAAATAAAAAGTGAAATATGCATTGGCATTCCAGTGGCATCAACAAAGTATATTTTAATTCCAAATCTTTATTATTTCTGAAATTTACTGTACATATTTAAACATTCCTGTGCAAATATACATATTAATGTAATTAATTTGTACATTTATGCATACACCCACACTTACCATCATGAATGTAACTTATGTTTACAGCAAATACATAAAATCTATGTTCTGTGTGTCAGTAAATGTCTGTTCAGACTCCTGGTCCCTGTAAAATCCTTACCACAAACTTCACATTTGTGGGGGCGGACCCTGGTGTGAATAAGTGAATGCGTCTTCAAAATGCTATATTGTGTGAATCCTTTACCACAATTCTTACATTTATATGGATGTTCTCCAGTATGAACAAGAGAATGTCTCTTGAGACTTCTTGCCACTCTAAAATGCATTCCACATACATTACACTCACGAGGTCGCTCTCCTGTATGAATTAGAGAGTGTAACCTAAGACTGTGAAACTGGGTAAAACTCTTCCCACATATTTCACATTCATGAGGTCGTAATCCTGAATGGATCAGTAAATGTTGCTTCAAGTTGAACACTTGAGTAAAGCCCTTCCCACATACATGGCACTCAAAGGGCCGCTCGCCAGTATGAATGTACAGATGTCGTTTGTGGTTACTGAAGTCTTTAAATTTCTTCCCACAGACTTTACACTCATAACGTTTTTCTCCCGTGTGACAATGAGCATGCTGTTCCAGATATCCGATACGTAAAAATGGTTTGCCACAATTCTTGCACTCATAACGTTGTCTTGTATGTGTACGGCGATGCTGTTTAAGATACCTGGCTTGTGTAAAAGTTTTAAAACAAATTTCACATTCATAAGATTGTCCATTTGTATGTATAAGAGAATGTTCTCTAAGAAGTTTGATTTTCTTAAAACTCTTGCCACACTCTTGGCATATAAATGGACATTTATCTGTTCGGCTTGGCGAGCTTGACTTGGGAGCCGGGCTCAGATTAATTTCACCACACACGCATGAGCTGACTCCTGACTTTCCTAGTACATTTCAGTATCCAGAATGAGTTCATCAAAGCAAGCTGCAGCCGCGGTGATAATACTAGATGAATGCAGTGTGTTCGGGAGAGAGAGGAGAGAAATGTGGGATAAGAACTGGTTAAACAGAGACAGATTTACACATTTAAATTTATTGAACTTTATTGGAACTAACAGACCTGAAGACTACAAAAACTACTTCAGAATATCAGATGAAAACTTCAGGTATTTGGTAGCAAAAGTAAAACCGTTCATAGTGAAAGAAGATACTGTGATGCAGAATGCTATTACCCCTGAAGCACGAATCGCAGCGACTCTTATTTTTTTGCCCCAGGACGGTCGTTTGAAGATCTCAAGTTTGCCACTATTATATCACTTCAAGCTTTGGAAAAAATCATTCCAGAGACCTGCAAGGCTCTAAAAGAAAGATATTTGAAGGTAAGAAAACTTTAAATATGTACCTAACATCGAATACAGTCATTAGGGAGGAAATACAGTTCCTGGGTCCTGTTCTGGGGAGTGTACCGGGTAGTTAGACGGACCTGGAGTTGCTGATGGAGTTGGGTTTGAGTAGGTGGAGAATGGAGAGGGTGTATCACTTGACCTCCAGGCACCAGTTGTATACCCATAATCAGAAATAAAAGTCGAAGGTGTAAGATTACTCTGCAGACCTTTAAACAGAACATCATTAATCAATTTGTCAGCAATGTCCCTCTGAGTGGCAGGCATGCGACGCAGTTTTGCAGCGTACGTTTTCCCTAGGGCGTCGTACTCATCATCTTGTTGGTTAAATATAGCCATTGCCTTTTGAATAAGAGTTTGCCGCTGTGTTTCTTCGGCATGGACACTTCTAGAAGTTTTTGAAGAGGTTTTCTTCCTTTTTAGAAATGGAGACTGTGAAACCATGTCCAAAGTTTGTTTGCCTTCATGTAACATTTGAGTAATCTCGCCTTCCCTCGCTTCATCCTGAAACAAAACGAAAACTTAACCGGAGAGTGCATAAGTCGGGTCTGGGATGACCGGGTGCTACCCTGCTAGCCCCCAGTATCTAGGTGTGACCAGAAGAGTCACTGTTGCATTCTCATTATTATGTTGTTCTGGCCATTGAGCTCACTCGCAACTTTCATGCCAATAGCTTCACAGGAAATATGTTCGTACTTTCATCTTTATCCCCCCCCAAGCTATTCAAAATTGTGTAATGTACTATATCCTATGTGTTAATAAAAATTATTTGAATTAAATACTGAAACTTGTTTAAACATTTCCTCTGCAGAAGACCTTCACTGTTCACTGACATTATTACATCTACTCGATTGTTTTGCCATGTAGATTTTGTATCATATTACAATGTTTCGTTTTCATTCATTATGGTTATTACATGCTGGGGGCTAGCAGTAGTTAGCAGTGGAGAGCTTTCATTAATATCTTTATAACAACTTAGGTTTAGTATCTTGAAATATTTTTTTTCCAGTTCCCAACCTCTTCGATAGAATGGCAAAAGATCGCAAAGGATTTTGAATCAATGTGGAACTTCCCCAATGGTGGCAGTGCCTTGGATGGGAAGCATGTGGCTATTGTTAAACCTGCCGTTGAAGGGTCATACTACTTCACCTACAAAGGATACCATAGTGTTGTTTTGTTGGGACTTGTAGATGCCAACCTGACTTTTCTTATGGCTGACGTAAGATGTAACAGAAGAGTTTCGGATGGAGGTGTGATAGAAGAGACAACATTTTACAGAACATTGAAGAATGGCGCACTTGCACTTCTGAAAAATGATGACACTGTGGGGAATATGAACTTCGTTTTCATTGCAGATGAGGCTTTTGCGCTGAGAGAAAACATTTTGAAACCTTTCCCCTGTAAATACCTGACCCATGAAAAACAAATTTTCAATTACAGATTACCGTGCGCACAACACTGTGCAGAAAATGCATTTGGAGTGCTTGCAGCACGTTTTCGTATTTTTCATATGATTAATCTGCAGCCGTTGAAAGTCGTTCTACACAAATTTCTTAGAAGGAACCATGGAACCCAGTATACTCTGGGTTCAATGTTGGAGAGAGAAGATTTAGAAGACACAAATGTTGTTGAAGGCTTTTGATTTGTTTCATTCTGGTTTTCCACACTAACAATATTATGAAAGACAAAACAATTCTTTCAGGTGTGACTGGAGAAGTTTTTTTTCCTATTTCAGTTCTTAATGCCATTACATGCTTCTACATGGTCTCTAGGGACTGAAACATGTAAGGGCATTAAGAATTGAAATAGGAAAAAAGATTTCACCAGTCACACTGGACAGAATTGTTTTGTCTTTTATAATATTTTTGAAGGCGACTGGAGGAATGAGCAACCTTAAGGATGTTACTTCCATGGAAACGCTAGAACAGACCGTTGCATAGGATGTAACAATAGCGGTATTGTAATTCTAAAAGTGAGCCGTTGCATAGAGAATGCCGAATCTCCCCGGAGATGAGTCTCCATGGTTATAACAAGGGTTCATTGCATTGCAGCGGCCGAGGTTATAAAAAGGGTTAAGGCATTTGCCAAGTTAGTCGGAACCTAGACGCCATACAATATAGAAGAAAGACAGCAAGAAGCCAGAATTGGGATAGCCGTCGCCGAAGACAGGTGAGATCCAGCCATGGCCAAGGACACTATAAGCACCGAAGTAGAGACAGAAGTCAAGTGATACTGCAAACAATAATAATTGTAAGGTGTAAGTGTAAGTGTTCAATAAAGATTCACTAAATCCGAGACCCACGTGAAGTTATTTGTCGCATGACACACCCAACACATGACAACATGATTTGAAGTGTGTGCCAGGTGACTCCATCTATGGAAGTGTCTGCCAGTCAAGATAAGTATGTTGAATACTTCAGTGGGCCAGGAAAGGTACCATTTCAAAACAGAATGGTGGGCAACAGATTAGTATGGTAGTATCTTTGGCTTCACGGTAGCTTACATTAGTTTATTTCAGCTGACAGTTTCAAAAAAAAATTTGAGTGAAGAAACTTAAATCTTGTGCTTTACTTATACAGCCTACACTATTTAAATAGCTCTGTAAAGCTAGTCGCGGCACCTTATATGAACCTACTTCCTGTGTTTTAACAAATTCTCATTACTGAACTGAAATCTACAAAGTAATCACCTATTAACTTACCTCTGCTATTGTCAAAGCTGTTGTTTCTTGTGAATCACAATCAACATCTTCAGCGTCTTCATCCAAACTGCTTTTGCTTTTCCGAGGATTCTCTTGGTCTGCCGTGAACAAAAGCAGGTCAAAGTACCACAGCGTTGGCTTGTAGACATCATCCCCAGACGCACCCCTTCTCTTGCTCTCCCGAACTCGGCGCAGTTCTTTCCTAAATGATGCCCGGATACTATCCACTTTTTTCTTAACAAAATTCAAGTCAGCATCATGGATTTTCTCTCTTGTGAACTGCACGAGTAAATCCCAGGCCTCATCCCGCTTTCCCCTATTTGAATACTCTGTGCTGCGAACCTGCCACAGAACCGGCAATTCACGGTACGCTTCTAAAAACCGTGTCAAAAACTCCGGGCTCATGAATGTTTTGTTACACATGGAAGCTGACATGGTTCCTCCGTAGCACAACTCATCACACTGTCTGTTCGTGTGGCGTGTAGATACACGAGTATATTCAATTGTGTGTTTATCAGTTTCTCTTGAACCTGACTCATGTTTGTGGGTTGTAGTTGCTGATGAAGTACAAGTATCCACAGAAGTTTGTAGGTTGCTGAATTTACAATTTAAATGCACAGTAAATCAGGTTATTAGTGAACATGTGTATTCAATTTAACAGAATAAAAGTTTCCAACTTGCAGCTTCCATTGTACATCCAATTCTTAATCTGAAGTCAATGCCACAGTCATTCTCACATAATTAAACATCACATTCCATCTGGACATGGAATTTAAAGTGTTGCCCCTACTGATAATATGATATGTGAAGGTATAGGTAAAAGGTAGGTAAAGGTAGCCCTGTAACAGGTCGTGCAGGTCTATAGGATTGTAAGATGTTGAGGCTCCCACATTTTCTAGACAGTCAGCTCACAGATGGCAGTGAGGTTGTCAGCCTTACAACACAGCCGCCCACACTTTACCTCCAGGAAGATTCCTGGTACTCATTTCTGTTACAGGCTGAGTTGACCCCAGGGCCATAGTGCAGCTGGAAGGATTATGTAAACTGAAAAATCCACCACATCAGGATTTGATCCCACAACCTTCTGGGTTGTAGTATAGTGCCTCAACCAACTACGCTACCACGTTCCCCTGCGTGAATGTATACCTGTGCAAAAATACTAAAAGCAATGTCAAGGATCTGTGTGTCTCAAGGATGCAGTTTCAAAGGAAACTGTTGGAATACATTACATTCTCAAATTTCCACCTGGTGACTGACACCAGGCTTAGTCTGTAATAATTAAACACAGCTTACTCACTTAACAAAATCTACTCACCCTCAGACTTGCAGTATGCTACATACGTTCCTTGACAATATGTACCCCCACCCATGGTGATACATGAAGAGGTTGAGATAAATCAGATCAAAAGATCTGGAAGTATGCTCTTGCCAACAAGTACCAACATTCAAAAACAGCAGATCCTTTTCAAAGGGTGGTATATCTGACTGTGATTACAAGCAATACTATAAAATAATGGTTGAATGGAATGGTACTAGAAACAAGATGTCACTTTTCAGGAGTGCTATTCTTGTTCTAAAGGCAGACGTCTGGTAATGTATTTGACAGGGACAATGGCCTAGGACCAGGTACATGAAAACCTACAAAACCAGAGATTTTGTGCAAGTGATAAACAGTTTCACACAAAATCAGATACCTTTAAATTATTCACCCTAAAACTCACCCAATTTCTTCCTTATCCTGTAGATCTACTGAAGATTCCGCATGTGCTATTCCTTTGAGAATGTTACCTGTATTAATCTGTTCTGATTCAGTAGCTCCCAGCATATCTTTACATAGTTGACCAGCACACAAATTATTCTCCTTACATTCACTTTTCTCCATCTTCACAGATGTCTCTTTGCTGCCTGAATTATGTTCATCATCTACACTCAACTCAACCTTTACATATTCAGCTAATGTTAAATTTACATCAGCGTTCTCTTCCACTGCATACTCTGACATGTCATCAAATGTCATTTCAACTTTCACAAACTCTGTAAGTGGACTAGTATCAGTATTATCCTGCAGTTCACTCATCTCTTCCACATGTTCACTTACTTCACTGGGAATATTCACACCATCCTTCCTCAGCACTGTTTCTAAGTTGGCTCTATTAACCTGAAAGCTCAAGATATTTTTATAAATTACATTTAATCTTAAGACTTTCCCCTCTGATCCATACTACTCCCATAAGATAAATAAAATTGAGTTTTCAAAGTATATTCCAAACACACAAAACTTATATGTACATTCAGAATTACTTTGGTTCTTGACTTTGTCCATTGTCTGGTATTCTAAAAACTAGAGAACACAACATTTTGGAAACTGGATCTGTTCCGTTCTCAGGTGAGGGGGATCACACCTACTGTGTTGTGTCCCTTAGAAAGAGCTAATCTATATCACTGGACAGCCCATGTCATACCTGAGACCAGGCTTTGTCAACAGGAGACGGCATGAAAACATACAATAAAAATTGTGATACGGCATGCACAGACATGAAACTAAGATAGAAAGGCACGTGAAAATTGTCATGGGTTGCCCAGTTATTGACATTAGCACTTCCTAAGGAGCCAACAGAGTAGGTGTCTCCCCCCTCACCTGGGGATGGAAACAGATCCAGTTTCCAAAATGGAATCAAGGATAAAGGACAAAGTCCAATACCGCAGTAATTATGAGTGTTATACACAACCATCAGAACCCTTTAGAATCTACTTAAATTTACATAATCATAAATTATATTACAATAGTTGGAGGTACCTATCTCTAGTGCCTCATACCAATAATTCCACCTCATTCCCTAGTACTTACTAAGAGTTCACAAATAACTTCCTATGTCACTGAAATGTTATGAGACTCATGCACAAGGTTAAACATCACATTACCCTCAGATAAAACAAATGCTTCCTTTGCTCTCCACTGCTGACTATACCAATACCAATCATACTGAGCCACAGATAAAATTATGGTGATTCACTCAGGAGAGGCCCCTGCATTAATATATAAATACCAATTACACTGAGCCACGGATAAAATTATGGTGATTCACTTAGGAGAGGCCCCTGCATTAATATACAAACACCAATTACACTGAGCCACAGATAAAATTATGGTGATTCACTCTGGGAGGCCCCTGCATTAATATATAAATACCAATTACACTGAGTCACAGATAAAATTATGGTGATTCACTCTGGGAGGCCCCTGCATTAATATACAAATACGAATTACACTGAGAACCAGAAAGAAAATTATGGCGATTCACTCAGGCTAAGCCCCAAATCAATAATCATAAACCACAAAGCAAAATACTGATGAAAATAAACTTAGCATATATGTACATACCATGGTGGATGTGAAAATACATAGGTTACAGACAATGTCACATTCCTTTAATCACTTAAATTATTGCGTGATTTACTTAGGGTCGCCTGTAAGTGAATCTACCCTTGCAATATCACCTGCCAGGAGTGGAACCCCATCTGTCCAGCCTGCTAACACCCGCCTATCAGCTAACTATCCTAACTCCATCAGTAACTAAAACTCAAGTACTGTGTCTAATTCTGAATATCAATATATTTTAGTGTATAACAACTGGTGAAGGTCAATATTAAAATGATACAACACTGTGTAGTAATGTAAACTAATTTGAACAATCCAGTAAAAGGATGGTACCTACCATACTACAGGGCATTACACACAAGTTGGCTATAAGACTCGCAATTTTACAAGCATTATCAAAACTCATATTTTAACCTCTGAAAGTTCAACATGACTTTAACAGACTGTAATATAAATCATTCTGACATCATTATATACAATTCACTTTAGAGCCCAATGTTTACAATAGTGTTCAGGGATAAGCCCTAGAACTAATGCGAATTATTCTAATTTACCGGATGTAAATGACCATTCCAAGATGAAAGACGATACACCCCTAAATTATTACATGCATGTTTTCTCATTTAAAGTAGCTTAAGATCGTAAACGATGTATACACGGTGTTTAACCTGCTCAAGAAACCTTTATTTCCAAAAACAATGAGCCCGCTGGATATACGACACTTATAACCTGTAACTGATTCCATGTTAGGAGTATAAATAAAGGGAACACCACAGCCAAAATATACAGTATATTCTTATACATGCTTACTTGTACGTAATGAAAGAACAACAAAATTTATTTCCGTTGCAGAATAGTTAAATTGTATCTGATTCGAAAATGTACGTCAATGCTCCTTGCGCCTGCGCAGTAAGCTTCTTTCAGTATACGGGTTTTCAAACGGTGGAGCGCATGTTAAAGGTAAAGTTGTTCCCATGCTTAGCTAATTCAGCATTATGCTATGAAGACATATGGGGGAGTAGATGTATAGATCCACTTGACGTTAAAATTTGACAATAAAATTAAAATTAGAATTAAAATAGCGATAAAAATATTTATAACTTGTTACTATATGTGAATTACATTTAAATTAAAATGTACTTGTTAGCTTAAAAAAATCATACAAACACATTACGAATTCATATTGATTAATGACGAAATTCAAGAACAAGTACCAGTATTCTTGTACACCTGAAGATGACCCAAGAAAAGAGTCGAAACATGTAGTGTTACAACCAAAAGCTAACAGAACAAATGTTGACACAGAAGTGCCTCTTTTATCGATTTCAGAACCACTGTTATGTAGACTGGCTCAGTATATACCTTTCGCATGATAGACAACAGGATGCATACCATAAAAGCGATATTTCTCTCTTCTTGCTAGCATCTAGACCGGCTCTGAGGCCCACCAAGCCCTCTATCCAATGGGTAATTGCGGGGCTTTTCCCCAGGGGTAAAGCATCCTTGGTGACCTCCGACCTAAAACTAGTGCCAAGGTCAAGAATGGTGTAGCTATACTCCCACTCCCCCACACGTCTTCATGCCCTGGTGCTTAATTAAATAATTACATGGACAACTTTACCTCTTCTTAATTTTAATATATTAAAATGGCATGACAAGATATGTATGGGGGTGTGGAGGTATGGCTCCAACATTCGAGACCTATATACGAGTACTATATGGAAGTGAGTGGACAACAGCTTACTCCGGCCGCTACGCCCCCTGGGATGAGTCCTAGGTATCAATTCGATAGGGGGTGGGCCCCAGAACCGGTCTGGATATTATGGAGAAGAGTATAATCTTATTTCTCGGCCTCCCAGCCCATTGCTATACCATCTTCCTAATTAAAATATTAATTATTAGATTATACACTTATGAACATGTATATTTATGTGTGTTGTTGGTGGGCGGTTTATTCAATGACGCTTTAAGTATCTGAGGTGTATGTGCAGTGTCAATTTGTGAGATGATGAACGATGAATTCGGAAAGATCTTAAAGGAATCGGCGTCATGAAACCGGGGTACTAACCCATCAACAAACTCGAGGAAGCGGAGGAATACAATGAAGTCAATTGGTAAGCACAGCCAGTGTAGCGTATGAGATTCGAACCAAGCACCTCGCGACGCATACTTCTGATAACATTGCCATCGTGTAGAGATGATTATGCTTGCATGTTTTCTAGTTACAGCCTGTGAGCTGATGACCACAATTGTGTTACAGAAATGTGCATCAGATATGCTGGAGATAGGGACATATTCAGTACATTAGAATTACATCAAGGGCAGCCGGGACATTTGTGTAGTGCCCACCAACAGAATTTTAATGGTCCTATAAACAGGGTAGGCAGCCATACAGCTCAGGCTGTTATGAGCTGGATTCTAACCGCGGAAACCTGGGTTAAATCCTGGGTGATTTCATGTGACATACATGGTGAATGAACGGCACTGAAGCAGGTATTTTTCCGAGTTACTTCGGCTTTACTACATCATCAGTACACCAAAGCTGCAAACTCAATTATCAGTCAATAATTCAGTACAATATTCAAGGTGTCACAGAGTTCACTGTTGTTACTATGTTATTAGTATTCAATTCTTCAAACCGAAATTCATGTATGTATACTGTGACTATAATAAATATTATAGAACAAGTGTAAGATTTGAGGCTTTCACGGCGGTGACTATGAAGAAAGCAGTCTTCTGGGCTTTGGCGCCGTGTATATGTGGTGTTAACCGACGTTTCGGAGGAACGTTAACACGACATATACACGGCGCCAAAGCCCAGAAGACTGCTTTCTTCATGTTCAAAAAATGGTTGTCTCTCCTTATAACGACATTCCAAACTCCCATGACAAACATGATTGGAGAGTTATTCATATGGTCAAAATGTTACACTTTTTAAACAACAGCACAAAAAATAAAATAAACTGTGTTATTCTGATTTAAATAGTTCACTGGTATTACTCCATTGACACATTTCACAATATGAATTTCCATTGAATTTCCTAAGTTGCTTGTGTTGATGGCGACTTCAGTGCAGTCTTCTGGGATGTGGCACCATGTAGATGATGTGTTAATCAACGTTTTGGAGGAACGTATCGCCTCCACCTTCAGGGTTGAAAGAAGAATAAGAAAATCCGCAAGCGAAGAAACAGTGAGAGCAGGCTTTTTCCGACATTAGTCTGCTTGCAACTACTCTCACTGTTTCTTTGCTTGCGGATTTTATTTTTCCTTCTACCCTAAAGATGGAGGTGATACGTTCCTCCAAAACATCGGTTAACAGCACATCTACACGGTGCCACATACCAGAAGACTGATTTCTTCTCACACACAGCCGTAAAAACCTCAGATCTTACAAGGAAAGCTAAAGATCCACTATCAGATACATATGGGAGAGAAATCTTATGTGTGCAGGTATGCAAGAAAGTATTTTCAGAATCCCAGGTTCTCAAAAGACATTACCATACCCATACTGGAGAAAAGTCTCATGAATATCCGGTATGTAAGATAGGGTTCAACAAATCAGGAATACTTAAAATCCATTATCCCATTCATACAGGAGAGAAACCTTATGTATGCAGTATTTGTAATAAAGGGTTCACAGAGTCTCAAGTTTTGAAAAAACATTATCGTATTCACACTGGTGAAAACCCATATATTTGCACGGTGTGTGAGAAGAGGTTTAACGACACGCAAGTTTTAAAGGAACATTATCGTACTCATACTGGAGAAAAACCTTATGT